AAGTTCTAATTCCACTAGTAGAATATTCCATTCCCCCGTTACCTAGCAACCCCAGCCAAGCCAAGGCCGTTACCTAGCAACTCAGTTCTAGTTCCACTGGCAGATTATTCCACTTACAGGAAAAATGTTTTGTTATAAGTGAAATGACCTGCCAGTGTAACTTTTCTGAAAACTTATTTTTCAAGTTGAATTATGAATTTAATCAATATTAAGAAATTATTGAGTTAAAAGAAGCTCCCATGTTGCTGAAAAGTTCCTTATTTCATGTGTGCTACAATATTTCAACTTTGTCATCAATATTAAGGAATTATTGACTTAAAACAAGCTACTACATTTCGCTAAAAAGTTACTAAGTTGTTTTCCTTAAATTTCAAGTGTACTAAGATATTTGCTATAAAAACTAGACAAAAGTACTTGGTAAGATTTTGTGTTTTTGGAGTGCAGTTGTTTTAACACAATAGTTGTGTTGGTTTATTTCAGAAACATGAAACCTTTACAAACCAAAGAGCCATTTTTGCCCTTAGTTCGGCTTAATGAAACTTATTTAGAACAATTTATCATTTTGTTGAACATCTACTGCAGGAAATGCATTGTCATTCTTACATAACCACTATTTTATTTAGATTTCTGTGTTTTAAAATAAAATGGAACATTTTCAAAAACAAATGCAAAAAGAGGATGAATAAATTTTCTTTAATGGGTTGTTGATTTTTCTGGAGAATATTAGAGTCACAGTTTTCAACCCAATGACAAGAAAAATAGATTTAAAAACATGTTGCTGATAAAGTATAAGGGCCATACTAAGAAAAATAAATTAATAAAAAATAAAATTACGACAATAAAGTTGCAATTTTGACTTTATTTTTGAAGTGTGACCTTATTCTCACATTACCACTATCATGGTTATTCTTATAAAATTATGACTTTTTATTTTATTTTTCTTAGCATCACCCTAATATGCTGTCATGTCTTTTAATGCAATTATGCCATGAAAAAATATTGTAAAACCTGGATTTGTTATTATATCTCTATTTAAAAATATTAATCGGTTTATTATTTTTACCCCTGGTGGAAAGCAGGCCAGTGGTTTATTTTTGTTCTATTATTAGATTTAAGCCTTATGTTTATCAGAAATCGCAGGAATTTGCAGGATTATTGCTAATTCAGATTGTGAACAATAGCCTCCCTGCCCCCTGCTGTGCAGTTTGTTACAGTAAAATGTCTCCTAATCTGTAGTTACTGTAACCTCCCCTCTGGTGGCGGTCACACCGATATGAGTAACCTGATATGGAATCAAGCACCTCTCCCATATTTACTGTGAAATGCTCATCAATTTTTCATTTCTCTGCCTCTGAAACCATTCTGCAACAATTTAAAATGTGTCCACATCTGAAAACTGAAGCTTCAGTGTAAAAAGTTTGAGTAACTCGACTCGCCTCCCTTTGTGCTCCTCCTTCTCACCCCGGCCTGTAAAACCAATCTTGTGGCTAATCGCTAACAGCCGCGTTGCCACCTTGACGTAACGCCGTCCTCGGGGATTGAATGTCGAGGTTTTGTCTTACGAAGCTTCGGCGCATGCTCCATCATCTCTGAAAAACGCTGAGGTCATTTTCTCACCTGGACTCGCTGCAGAAAGCTTCAACTTTTAACACAAAACCAGACAAATAAGCAGCTAGAGACACTTTTATAAAAAAAACCCAACATAAACATCACAGGAGTGAGTGTCTAAGACCTCAAGGTGATTCACTGTAAATTAATACGTAATGTCTCGAAACACCATAATCTCTCTTCACCACAACAAACCAGCAGTTGTGTTGAATACAGTTATTATCTGTGTTTGTTTCTACTGCTGGTATTTACAACTCTGGGGCTCCGTTTACTGGAAATTCATCCGTGTTTTTATTTAAAGTGGGTTTTGGTGATAAAAATCAGACATCAGTTTTCAGTTGCAAACATTAAAAAGCTACAATCTTATAAAAGGAACTGATTTTTACAGTGAAAGGCTCTTAAAATGACAGTGCACAAAGAAATTTGAATAAACGTGCTATTCGTATAAACAGTTTCAACACTATAAAAACACTAAATTTCACCAAGTATTTTTTTCCCAGATTTTAGCAAATATCTTATTACACTTAAAATAGACAAAACTAACTTTCAAGTAACTTTTCAGTAAGATATAGGAGCTTGTTTTAAGTAATTAATTCCTTAATATTGATCAATTAAATGCTGAAAATCAATGACTTGGTGCAATCTGCTTCGATGGAAACTTTTAATATTATTTTGAAGAAATAATTTAATTAATTGTTTTATATTTTGTACTTATGGAAGAATGTTTTTCTGGTACTAGCAGAGCTAGTGCTTTTTAAAATCTAGTTTCTAGTGCAAATAAATTATTACACTTGAAATAAGACTAAACTAACTTACAAGTAATTTATTAGTAAGATATAGGAGTTTGTTCTGAACCAATATTTTATTATCACTGCCAAATTATTTCACTTATAACAAGATATTTTCCACAGTGTTATAAGTTATATCATCTGCCAGTACATTTTCCATTGAAATTATTTAGTAAAACAAGCTCCAGAAAAATCACTTGAGTTAGTTTTGTTCTATTTTAAGTGTACTGAGATATTTGCACTAGAAACTAGACAAAAAAAATACTTGGTAAGATTTTGTGTTTTTGCAGTGTAGTTCCACTGGTAGATTTTTTTTTAACGTTTGGGGAAAAATGTCTTGCTGTAAAGAGGAACTAGTATTTTTTTTAAATCAGTATTTAAGCAATATTGACTTAAAACAAGCTGCTGAAGAGTTACTTGTTAGTTTTGTCTTTTGTCAGGAGGATATTTGCAGAAAAAACTCTTGGTAAAGTTTTGTTTTTGCAGTGAAACTCTTGTTTTCTTCAAGTCCCTTCCCCTCCGGACTCAGTGTTCCTGTGGGATCCGGTCATGTTTGACCTGCTCTCATACGTAGTCCTTCCTCTCTAAAACCGGGCCGCCCACGGACCGGGCTGAGTACGCCATCCTGGAGCTGTTGTACCGTGTCTCCCGAGGCGGACAGGAGCAGCAGAGAAGTCCTCCTCCGAGCACCAGGAGAGCAGCGGCGCCCCAGCCGACGTACAGCGCCGCCCCCAGCTCCCGCCGCTGGGCGTCGGTCAGCAGCGGGTTGTAGAAGTCCCTGATGATGGTGTGGGCCGACCAGGAAACGGGGATGAGCTCCATGGCGCCAGAAACGATGAATAGCACCCCGGATACGATGATCACCTTGGCCTTGGAGGCCTCGTCCTCGATGCAGTTGGTGCACTTTGCCCCGGCGATGGCCACCAGCACGGCCAGGATGGCCAGCAGGATGGAGATGACGGTGAGCGCGCGGGCCGCCTGGAGGTCCGGCGACAGCGCCAGCATGGAGTCGTACACCTTGCACTGCATCTGGCCGGTGCTCTGCACCACGCAGCTCATCCACAGGCCCTCCCAGATGATCTGCGCCGTCACGATGTTGCTGCCGATGAACGCCGTCACCCGCCACATGGGCAGGGCGCACGCCACGATGGCGATGATCCATCCCAGGATGCACAGGGAGATGCCAATCAGCTCCAGTCCTATAGACATACTGGCTGCTGATGTCGCCCAGTTAGTGTTAGTGAGTGTGTGTGTGATGATCTGTTACCTGGACTGGTAAAGTATCCGTTTTATACCAGTGGGTTGGAGCAGGGGAGGAGTCTGGGATGGAGGTGACATCACTAGGAGGAGAGGAAGGACCTGGGGACTCTCAGGACTCTCTGCTATCGGCTTACAGGGCCACAAAGAGGCTCTTTACAGCCGAAAGGCCGTACACTGCAAAAACACGTCTCAACAAGAGTTTTTGGCCTAGTTTTAGTTAAAATATCTTCATACACTTAAAATAAAACAAAACTGATTTAGAAGTGGCTTTTCAGCAAAATAGGAGCTTTTTCTAAGCCAATAACTACTTAATACTGATGAAAAGGTTGTAGTTCCACTGGCAGATTCTTTTACTTAAAAGTGAAATAAACTGCCAGTGGAACTAGAGCGTTTTATTGATTTAGAACAAGCTCCTATATCTTGCTGAAGACATATTGGTAAGTTAGATATTTGCACTAGAAACCAGACTAAAATGTTTTTCAAATGAAAAACACAAAACCTTATTTTTGATCAGTTTGTAGTGGAAATATTGTAGCACAAGTGAAATAAGGAACTTTTCAGCAACTGCAATAATAATTCAAATTCAAAAACGCTTTTTAAAAAAAGTACTAGTTCCACTGGAAGATTATTTTACTTATAACAAAACATTTTTCCCATGTTATGAGTGAAATAATCTGCTGGAGGAACTAGAACTGAGTTGCTAGGTAACGGGCTGGGCTTGGCTGGGGTTGCTAGGCAACACGCAGTGGAACATTCTACTGGTGGAAGTAGAACTTTTTTTAATCAATATTAAGGATTTATTTACTTTAAACAAGCTACTGTATCTTGCTGAAAACTTACTGGTAAGTTAGGTTTGTTGTATTTCAAGTGTACAAAGACATTTGTACTAGAAACTAAACCAAAAATACTTGGTGAGATTTTGTATTTTTGCAGTGAAACACGTCTTTTTGTACCCAAAGACATTTTGCATGCAGATTTTGTTCACAGAAATAGAAAAAGGTTCCTATAAAGTGCTCAAGTCTGAGATCTTTCAGACTAATTTGTTGATAAAATCGTTGCTTACTTCAAACTTTTCATCTTTCTTGCTACAAATTACTTTGGTACACTGCAAAAACACAAAGTCTTATATTGTTGGTTTGGTTTTACTACTTTAGTACACTTGAAATAAAACAAATCTAACTTGTAAGTGACTTTTCAGCATAATAAAGAAACTTGTTTTAAGTTAGTAATTTTCCTTAATATTAATGAAAGATTTATGGCAGATTTTTACTTCAAGAAAAATGGGGGGAACATTTTAAGAGTGAAATAATTTTAGAGTGAATCTGGTACTTTTTAAAGCTATATTAAAGAATTGTTGACATAGAACCATCATATATTTTGCTGAAAAGTTACTTGTAAGTTTTTTTCCCCCTTTTTCTCAAACTTCTATTGTACTAAGATATTTGTTCTGGAAACTAGACCAAAAATACTTAATGCAATTTTCTGTCTTTGCAGTGTGGGCTCCAGGGATTCAATGTAATGACTTATCAGTTAGAATGGTCTAGTCAAAGTCAAGACATGAGTCAGAATTGAGAAACTAGGGCAAGACGTACAAATTGTTGTTCTTTGTTGTTTCTATTTAAGGTTTCAGTCTTTCTATTTTATTGAAGTCTTTTACACTGAACTGTAAAAAAACACGTGAAAGTTTGCAGTTTTAATATTGAAAACTATGAACAGTTTTATAATTCACTTCAGTAAAGAAAACATCAGATTCCTGCAGCTGAAGTGAAGTTAGTATCTGTATCCAGAGCTTCTCTGGAGTCTGGACAGTTTCCAGAGGAATGCCGCCGTTCCTCAGCCTCCCTCTGCTGACTGAAACCAAACAAGATGGCTGCCTCCTGACCAGTTATCACAAAGTCAACTCATGGATGAGGAAGGTGGACATCCCTCACTGTAGGTCTGGGCTTGCAGAAAGAAATTCACTTCTCCTTTTACCTTTTCGAAGCAGCTGCGTCAAAATAATGCAAAATAAAGTTATTTCCTCTGATTTTTAACTCTGGAAAAAGTTCTAGTTCCACTGGTAGATTATTTTACTTAAAAAGATTTTTTTCCCCTGGTATAAATGAAATAATCTGCCAATGAAACTAAGACTTTTAGTTTAGTCTTATTTCAAATGTACTAAGATGTTTAAGTTTTAAACCAAAATTACTTGGTAAGATTTTGAGATTTTGCAGTGCAGACCTTTTTGCTGCATAGCCACCAACATTTCAGCTTGTAGGGCAAGATAATTATGTTTAATAGTTATTAAACATAATTATTACAATTATGTTTAATTATTTTATGTTTAAATTATTAAACATAAAATTACAATTCCAGAGGACAACTTGAGAAAACTAAAACCTTTCATTTAAAAGATTTAACTCTAGAATAATGTTGTTGTTTAAAGGGTTTGCCAAGCAGTTTGGATTTCCGGGTATCTTACATCTTTAGTACAATAAAAATATAACTAATATATTTAAATGTTCTCTGCTGCTCAGTTAGTTTTTAGCTCTAGCATTTAGCAACAAGAATTACTGCACTGCAGTCTTATGACAAGCTTATCTGGTTTGGTGGTTTTCCAATCAGCATTTCCTCCTGATCAAACTGGAGCATTGATACATTTACGCAACAATTATTTATTCAAAGTTCTTTATTGTTTAGAATTGTGGTAAGTAAAACTACAAATTTCTACAATCGATTTTAAATGTAAAATAAGTAGAGCCACCATAAAGGATTGATTTGGGCTCAAAAATGCATGTTTTACATATAAAAAGGGCAATAAGTGCAACATGTAAAATATTTCTACTGAAATACAAACCAAATTAAGAACATCAATCAACTCCTTAAAACATTACAGATACTTAGGATTATTCTCCAACAGCACTTCATTAAGCCAACAACATTTAAAAATGCAGACATTCCAGATGAGCTCATTAAAAATGTAATTTTTTTGTTTTCTTTTGGATGCAAAACATTAACAAACGTTCTAAACTACTTTAAAAGAAACTAATGAAATCACTAATTCTACCATATGCAACTCACAATATTTACTCAGTGCTTCCAATGTAACACAGAAACGTAAGAAAGAAAACTAAAACTATGGTGCAGGATTTTTACTGAACAGAGAGAAAGTTTCATTTTTATGGTTTTTCTTGGCAAATAAAAATAACTTTAGTGGCAAAAACTACTTGACCCACTGTGAGTAAGTGAAAAACAAAGTTTGAAAAGCAAAAATACAAAATATACCCAAGTATTTTTAGCTTAATTTCTAGTGGAAATTTTCTAGTACACTTAAAATAAGGCAAAAGTAACATGAAAGTAATTTTTCAGCAAGAAATAGTTTGATTTAAGTCAATAATTCCTTAATCTTGATGAAAAGCTCCACTTCCACTGGCAGATTATTTCACTTATGTCCCCATGTTGTAATTTAAATGAAACTAAACCTTTTTAAAACCAATATTAAGGAATTATTTACAGCTCTTATATCTTGGTGAAAAGTTAGTTTTAGATATTTGCACTAGAAACTAGACAAAAATACTTGGTAAGGTTTTGTGTTTTTTCAGTTTTTAGATGTTTTTGTCCTTTTCAGTTCTGCTTCCGGAGTCTTTGATGAGTTGGTAGATGTTGGTCGGCGCGTGAGAGCGGAGCAGATGTTGCTTCAGACGTAGTCTCTCCTGTCATAGCCGCTCGGTACCACCGATCTGGTTTGGGAGTACGGCGTTCTGTACCTTTTCTCCGGCCCCCGAGGGCAGCTGGAGGACAGGATGCCGCCTCCGATGAGCAGGAAGGCGGCGGCGGCCCAACCCAAATACAGAGCAGCACCGATCTCCCTCTTCTGCGCCTCTGGTATGGCCAGACTGTAGAACTCCATGATGATGGTGTGAGCGGACCAGGACACGGGGATTATCTGGGTGAGGGAGGCCAGAACAAAAGCCCCTCCGGAGGTGATCATCACCCGCGCTTTAGCCGCCTCTTCGTCCACGCAGTTGGTGCACTTTGCCCCCATGACGGACATCAGGAGTCCCAGAACCCCCAACACAATGGAGATGACGGTGAGGGCGCGGGCGGCCTGAAGGTCGGCGCTCAGAGCCAGCATGGAGTCGTACACCTTGCACTGCATCTGTCCGGTGCTCTGGACCACGCAGCTCATCCAGATGCCCTCCCAGATGGTCTGCGCCGTCACGATGTTCACCCCGATGAACGCCGACACTCTCCACATGGGCAGAGCGCAGGAAACGATGGCGGAGATCCATCCCAGCAGAGCCAGAGTCACGCCTAGTATCTCAAATCCCGCTGACGGCATGTCTGAAGAAATCCCCTCCACGATCAGCACCCACTGACGGATCGAGTGAGCGTCCAGCAGGTTGAACTTCCAGATAAGCAGCAGGTTGCTTAGAGGGAGGAATCGAAGGCGGAACCTCTTGATTATTGGAGAATTCAAATTCTCTCTCGTTTGAACAGTGGAAAGCTCGGCCTTGGAATGTAAACAGCTCCAGTTTAATCATTCAACTCCCACAGAGCCAGTAGCTCTCCCACCTGTTTGGGTGAGGGGAGTAAGCAGGTGGAGAGTGGTTAAAACCTAACAGAGAATGAATGACTGAAAGTAGGCAGCAAACTAAAAGCCTCTGCTGCTGCTGAGAAGCACATTCAGTCATCTTAAAGGTGACCTAATACGCTTCCTAGAACAGGTCAGGTCAGGTCTTTGAGAAAAACAAAACATTCTCATTATCTCATTCTGAGACGATGATGTGATTTTAGTCTGCTCATTTCAGAGTACTTTGAGCTGTTTTAGGGCCTCTGTGACTTTAATTTAGAATATATTTCTCCTGGCCACGCCCCCAACTCAATGTTTACACTTGCATTTGAAAATGGCTGCGAACAGATACGTAATTATACAACCATACATCTTTGAGAAGCATTGGTGGAACCTCCTGCACAACCAACAAGAATGCAGCAAGTGGTTTGTGGATTGTAAGTCAACAACAAAACACTTGTCTTTTCCAGCAGCCATTGTACAGGGCGCACACTCCAAAAATACAAGATCTTACCAAGTGTTTTTGGTCTATTTCTGTGGAAATATTTTAGTGCACTTGAACAAAGACAAACTACTTACAAGTAGCTTTCAGAAAAATACAGGAGCTTGTTTCAATTCAACAATGCTGAAAAATTGATTAAAAAAAAATACTAATTTCATGTATTTTTCAAATGTTAAGTGAAAAAATCTGCCCATAGAAGTCGTACTTTTTCATCATTTTTGACTTAAAACAAGCTCCTGTATCAAGCTTCAAACTTACTTGTAATTAGTTTTGTCTTATTTCAAGTGTATTAAGACATTTGCACTAAAAACTAGACAAAAATACTTGGTAAGTTTTGTTTTTGTAGCGTACGGCAGTAAAACCAGTTAATCAAAAGTGCTAGAGCTCTGCTTGGGTTGCTAGGTAACGGACTGAGTTTGTGGGGTTGCTAGGTAACAGGCAGTGCCTGCTCATTTTCCCCATTATATTGAGAAGGCTTTTGAAATGACTTATTTTTGAAACTCCAAAAAAGATGAACTTATTGCCAAAAACATCTGGGTATTTTTAGAAGCAGTAGAGACCCAGACATATAGACACCATGGGGAAAATTCATGTCACAGCAGCAAAGAACTAAATTGCAAATTGCAATAAGCAACTAACAATGACAAGCAATCAATCACAATGAAAAACAACACACAATATAAAATAACTAAAAACTACACACCAAGACAAAAAGTCTGGTAAACATTCTGTGAATAAACTATAATGGTGACGCATCCGAAACCTACAAAATGCCAAAAAGCTAAATAAGTACAAGTCCCATAACTCCACACCGACGTGGGTCTGGAGGATTCCAAGGACAAGAACTGCAAATAGAGAATGAGCCGGTGTGGTGGAGGAGGCTGATGAAACTCTGTGTGTGCACATAGTTGGGGGATGGGCTTATCACTTTCCCCTTCACAGGTGAAACTTTTGAGTCTGCTAGTTTCAAAAATGCTCCGCAAGTTTCAGTCAAAAGGAGGGAAGTGAGTTAGACTGATAAGAAAATGATGAGCAGCTGAAGGGGAGTAAACGAGTGAGACAGAACAAAGACGGAGCCTAAACATTAATAACAGAAATAAATACTAAATCCAACAAACGCATCTAATACTCAACAAGAAGGAGCAACTTCAACTAACAGAAGAAATAAAGTCAAACAGGAAGATAAATGCAAAAGAACAAATCCAAAACTAAACATAAACTTAACATATTGCACAGTATTTTTGGTCTAGTTTCTCAGTACACTTAAAATATAGACAAAACTAACCTACAATGAACTTTTCAGTCAACAATTTTTTAATTGTTGACTGAAAAGCTTGTTTTAAGTCAACAATTCTTTAATATTGATGAAAAAAGCTGGCTTCACATGTAGATTATTTCACTCATAACAAGGGAAAACTGTCTTGTTCTGAATTAAATAATCTTCCAGGGGAACTAGTACTTTTTAAAATTAACATTAAGGAACTATTAAAACACTATCCTATATATTGCTGAAAAGTTAATTGTAAATTAGTTTTGTCTTACTTAAAGTGTACTAAGATATTTCTACTAGAAAGTAGACCATAAATACTTGGTAAGATTTTGTGTTTTTGCAGTAAATAAACTTGGATAAGGGAAAATAAATAGTCAATACAAGAAAATAACAGAACCAAAAGCCCAAAATGTTAAGGGACTTTCCAGAGAGGTCGTACCGGGTAGAAAAATAAAAACGTTGAAACCAAACAAATTTCTTAAATGGACAGAACTTATAGCGCTTTTCCAATCATTTTGTCTACTCAAAGCGCTTTACGTGAGAGTCACCTTCACCCATTAACACACACATTTCTACACCGATACGCAGCTCAGTAAGCAGTTTGGGGTCAGAGTCGCATCAACATGTGGCAGGAGGAAACTGGACTCGAACCTACAACCTTCCGATCACAAGATGACTACTCAACCCACAGAGCCACAGATAAAAACAACTTCTTTTTCATCATAAAACTTAATCTTTTTTAATCATTATTAAAATGACAGATTATTATAACTTCTTGAACTGTTATTTGCTATGCTCTTCGTTCTGACTGGCTGTCAAATCCAATGCTAGTTCCTCAAGCTAGCACAGCTAGCGCGAAACGAAAGGTTTCTGTCAAGAAAAGGACAAAAGGAAGCGTCAGAAGCCCTGCTATGGAAGGCTACAAAAATCAGAAGGTAAACGACTAATAATTACTAAATAGTGACTAAAATTGAGACAATATCATTCTAAAAGTCGATGTTTCTTCACCTGTTTTGTAGTAATGGCCAGAAGCTAATGCTGTTCAGGGGGCCGTGGCATTGGAAAGTTCGGGAATTTGTGTACACCTAACTAAGTGAGTAATATTTTAAAGTTTTATATTATTTGCTGATTATAATAACCAATAACTAAGTTGAGTTGGATTTAGCTAATTGCAAATAAGCTAAATTATCTTATTTCCAAATAAGCTAATTCGGAATTAGCTAAATGCAACTGTTGTTGGCATGACAAATGCGGAAGGGGATTAATAGTAGGCTTACGCAGATTTGCTTATGTAAGCAGATCTTTAATATATTTTTTATTTAAGATATTGATTAAATTATGTACTACTTTTAATTCGTTACTAACAGTTG